AGGTCAGGAGTTCGAGACCAGCCTGGCCAACATGGTGAAACCCCGTCTCTACTAAAAATACAAAAAATTAGCCCGGTGGCTATGCCTGTAGTCCCAGTCACTAGGATGAGGCAGAATTACTTGAACCCAGGAGGGAAAGGTTGCAGTGAGCCGAGGTCGCCCCACTGCACTCCAGTGTGGGTAACAGAGTGAGACTCTGCCTCAAAAAAAGAAAGAAAGAAAGAAAGAAGAAAGAAATCAATGGACTGAAGTGATAGCTTTTTTCTTGGAAGTGCCTCTGGATAAGGAAGGAGGGGGAACGGAGAAAGAACAAGACTTCCCATTCTTTCACTTGTTCTTTTATTCAGTAAATAGGGACCCCCTTCTTCTGTGCTAGACTTTTATAAATTTAGGCAGGTGGAGATAACGATGAACAAAGCATACACGTTCCTACACTCATGAGCTTACCTGCTGGCAGGGGAGGCTGGTATTTTACAAATAATTTGAAAACTGTCGAATTACATGAGTGCTACAAAGGTATAATAAGGGACTGTGGCCTGATTTGGGGAACGAGTCAGATTGCCCTCATAGTTAAGCTGAGCCATGAAGGACAAATACAACTTGTCTAGGAAAAGACGGGCTGGCATGGTGCTTCTGGCAAAGGGAATGGCACGATCAAAGGCCCTGTGGTAGGGGAGAGAGCATGGCACATTGTGAGCACTGAAGAAAGGCCAGGATGGCTAGAATTGTGTGCGTGTGCATAGCTCCCTTTGCCCCTGTGTTGATCATCATGCTGGTGTCTCTGTAGAGTAACCGTCTGCCTTTTCTCTTTTTCAGTTGGGTTTGCTCCCAGTTTCCGGGCTACCGTGGATTTCAGTATGTGCTGGAAAGCGATCACCATTCCGGTGACTACAAGCATTTCCGGGAGTGGGGCTCTCACGCCCAGACCTTCCAGGTGCAGAGCATCCGCAGGATCCAGCAGTGAGCAGGGGCGCGGCACGGAGGAGCGCATGTGTGCTTGTCTGCAATGGAGGCGCTCTGGAGGCTGTGGCCTGCTCTCTCCTTCTGCCTCCCCCTGTAACCCGTGTGAACCCAGCACCCATGTGAACCTGTCCATGCACAGTCAGCACAAAAAACTCAAACGAATAAAAAATAGAAAGTCCGGTATTAGCTGTGCTTTTCAATTTTATTAATCTTTTCGAAGAACCGGTTTTTTAGCCTTGTTTTCTCTATCATTATTCCACTGAGTTTTACTCTTCGATTTCAGTATTTCCTTTCTTTTATTTATTTCAGGCCTACTTTGTTCTTAGTTTTTCTAGCTTTTTTTTTTTTTTT